ATACACATTAAAAAATAAAAAAGTTCATGGTCTCAAAGGAAAAAGAGAGCAGGTCCTTTCAGACAGGCAGAACTGATGAAGGACATTGCTTTTTCAGACTCATAAGATGTGGGAACTGGCCAGTTGGCTACTTCATCTACCAAGAAGGGGCCAAATTGCTGCTTCCTTTCTTCCAGTGAAGGTGGAAATCTGAGTCTTCTCCCCCTGCCCTTCTGCCAGGTTTATTTACAACAGAGCCTGAAGGAAACAGATACTGGTTTAATAAGTCATGTGTGGTGGTAAATCAGGAGGTTTATAACCTATTGATTGAAGGAATAATTTCATGTATTGCTTCCTTAAACTCCACTATCTTAAAAATAACCTAGATGACAGTGAAGGAATTTGAGGGGATGAAGGCACGGACTCCGATGAAAGATCGAAGACGTAATTTATTTGCTGGCTGCGTTTACATATCTTCTGCTGACAGAAAGGTTCCACTTGGCTACAACTAATTGGTCATTCTTATCTGTTCGTGCCTTAAACCATACATTTCATTTGCTACCTACTACTGCCCGCGCGACAGTACATAATATAGCTGTTAACCCTTAACTTGGCATCTTCTCTTCGTCCTTGCTCCAGATTCACTCTTGTTCATGTTCATCTTTTCCCTCTGGGGCCACCTTCTATCACCTCTATGCAGTTGTGGCCTCCTGTCTCTGCTAGGAATGTCCCCACAGGAATTACTAGTGATTAAGCAGTTTTTCTTTTATCATAAATCATGTAGTAAGTTTAATACCTTTTCTGATAGACTGTAAGAGCACTGAAGATAAAAATCTGACTTCGAGTGTTCAAGTGGTTATAAAATTCCTGTTTTAAAACAACAGTCATTGATCAAAGTAACATAGTTGCAGGGCACACTGATTAAAAGCTGAAACATTAATTACAGCTAATGATAAAGCATACCTCTTACCTACACTTAAATAAGAAGTAATAAAGAAGCAAAAATTTGTCTTAAGGCCGAGGAGTCCTGAATTACTACTGACAAAGCAAAAACTTTTATAGCACAGAGATGTTTTCGGTACCTTATCTGGCATTGGTGCTGTTCTAAACATGAGCCCTACTTATTTGGGAATGGTATAAGAAAAAAGGCCTACCTGAAAGGCTTAGAAAGCATAGGCAACCATACTTTAGATAACATACACTTGCGAGTTTAACCCACAATAAGGAAGAGGAGTAGGAGGTCTGGCTCTCCTGGAAGAACAAAAGTGGCTGTCCCATGGTCAGGCAGCCTGGGTGGCACTGCTCCACCAGCTGCTGTGATTGAAGTGTCAACACTTATACAACACTACGAGATGCAAGAGTTGTCATACTACAAAATTCTACCTACACTTAAGTAAAAGTTGTTTTTTAGTTGGTAGTCTCTAATCTGGTCGCTACTATAGACTTCGTCTCCTCAAAAGACAGAAGAGATTAAAAGTCCTCAGGCTAAGCAGTGCAGTTGAGGGGAAAGGTGCATGTTTGTACCTTCTACGATGGAAAGATAGATGAGCAGTGGTGATCCGAGTTATCCAGCTTTAATATGGTCTGACAAGAAACAATGGAATAAGATACGACGTTCAAGGCAACACTTCCAAAAGGTGGCAAAACCACAACATGACTAGCCTGTGCAACTCATCAGCACAGTTTACCACAGCCCATTACTGAAGGATTTGGAAGGATTAAATATGTGAGATGCTAGAAAGGATAGTTTCTCCATCAGAATGAAAATAAACATATGGTATAAAGTTTCCAGACTTGCAGATGTCCCAGTCCTTCATCTGGGATGGTTCAATAGAGGCAGGATTTTCCAAAAACTGTTCCCTAGGTTGCCTTGCATTTTTATATGAAGCACTTTAGACCAGAACCTGTCAGAACTGATACACCACATCAAATGAAATTATCTAGTGCAATGAAAACATTTATATTTAATATAAACCCATCTCTGGCCATAGGTAATCAAGGCCTCATCCAAAAAAAAACCTCCTTAAGCCCCTAAAGAATAAGATTATTCCTTGAGATGGAGGAGTCTTTCACAATATTATCGTACAGATGTGTGTTAGTCCCATGCAAAAGATTAATAAATAAATCCAGCTCTAACATAAATTAACTGATTCAGCCGAAGGCAACTGCAGTGACTGCAAGCTTTCTCATTTTCCTTTATTCCACTCTCCTTCCAAGTCAGCAATTATGCTGTTTCCCTCTATGTGAGACTCTACCTTTCTTCGCCTATTCCTTCTGCTTTTGTTACTGACCAAACTGACCCTGGTGCTTGAGAAAAGATGCAACTCAGTAATCAGCCTTTCCTTGCTTGGTACAGTTTAGTTTACAGCTTCACGCAACAACTGGGAGTCATGTTCATGCAATCTCCCAAGAATGCAAAGAGAAGAGAGAGGGAATTCTAGGATCAGGTCCACAACCCATTTTCAGGCTCTTCAACAAAAGGGAAAAAGTAGAAAAACAAAACAAAGAAACCCACAACTTTCTTCTTTTTTAATCTGTATTAAGATAGTGTGTCACTATAAACATTCTGCTTTCATACACTTGAATGACAGAAGTCAAACAGGTTGAAGCAACCTAAAAGTCACACTGCTTGAAAAATCAGATATTTTAGAGAAAACACTGATTGCACATTTTAAAAATATACTTCTCTTTTGGATAACTAGTCACCACTTACACTTGAACTCACAGGACCTTTAAGCTGAGCCCTGTTGCTCTGTGCTAGACAGCCTCATGCTTTACATGTGCTTTACAACCTCATGCAGCTCACTGCTGAGGCAGAGGTTTGATGTTGCTGTCATCAGTAGTAGGCAGGCTTGTAGTACTCCTGTCAGAGTTTTTTGCCTGCTGCCTTCCTCAAATCCTTCCCTGCAAGTTCAGGCAAGGACAAAGCAGTGAACATGCTGGAGGTTGTCACTGCTCCATGCCTCGTGCTTCTGTAACGCTGCCCAACATGCTCCAAGTGAAAACTAGCCATTGACTACACCTCCAAGGCTTTCAGCAGCCAGAGTCTTCATTACATCCTACTAACAACTAGGAAAGGGCCCTGGCAGAGGCTAGGCGTGCCTTTGGGAGGCTCCCACAATGAAAGGAGTAAAGCATTCAAACAAGTGTTCTGCTGTCTCTCTCAATTAAGCAGACAATATTGCGTTGTCACTGCTGTAAATACTTTAGCATGCCAAATTTTGCCGGTTTGCCTCTCAGCCCTCACCCACATCTGTAATAAATCAGGTCAAGTGTAAGCAGCTTTGCATTTTAAGTAACCTTTAGGCACTATATACTGGAGCAGAAAGTCTCCCCTGAGCCCAAACAGAAGTTGGTCCAGTCATGACTGATAGCAGCCTGCCCAGATAGGACACTAAAGAGCAGAGCAAGAAGGCTGGGATACAGTCCCATTGCCCCAGAATAATCTGCCATCGTATTCTGCGTATTTTTACCCAGAAGTTGAAACACAGGTGTTTGGGGAGGCAAGGGGTGGTTAGATTGGATGAACTCTAGCATGAACCTTGTGCATAGCTCAGGGACTCAGCTCTGGGACTGAAATACAGAGAGGTTGACCCCCACATCAGTTCTTCATAGATTTTGCTTCCCTGAATGTGGAAGGGCAAACCAATGTCCCTAGTTGCTACAGCATCCTGTGATAGCTACAGGTTTCACACCTTCTAG